CCCTAGCCAATTTGGTTCAGTGAATAGAACGTTGGCTCATGGACCAAGGGCTCCCAAATTCTATTTAGCTCAAGGGCACATACCTTAGTTGCAGGCTTCTCCCAGGCGCAGGCTCATGCAGGAGGCAACCAGTCGATGTGTTTCTCTCACATCAACGTTTCTCTCTGTCTTTCCCTCTCTCTTCAACTCTCCCTTAAAAAAAAAAAAAAAAAAAAGAAAGAAAAGTCAATGGAAAAATATCCTTGGGTGAGGATTAACAAAACTCAAGTAATTTTGCTTCAAGTATGTATCTGTCACTTTTACTCTTCTCTTCCTTCTTTCTGACCCCAATTAGCTTGATTCCCTCTTTCTCTCTCTAAATCTTGCCCAATATATGAGGTACAAATACAGAGATCTGCATCTACTATAGCCAAAAGATAATTTACTTTACACATCTTATGAACAACCTAATATAATTAAGCCTTATAAATTCATTGTCTAATACTAACCAAAAAATGGTTACTGGGTACATTTGATACTCACCAAGGATAGTGTAGTCTGTGATTTAGGGTCCTATAGAAGATGAAACAAATACCATTGTTAATTTACATTACATCAGAAAAACTGGCCATAGTCACATGTTTACTTTGATGAGTGTTTTAAACAGGCAAGAAAATACAATGTTTCAAAGCATCTTAATGGTACCATATTAAACATGCTAACTTTGAAGAAGGAATGACATTCTGTAACTAGTACCTAAAAGCATTGTAAAACAGATGTTTTGGGTGACATTTATTACATACCCCATGTATGTAAGTGGAGTAATTGACCTAACCATATTTCTAAACACAGAATCATAAATGATTTATGATAATAAAATGGTGAGATGTAGTTAACTAGTAGAAGAGAATAAACTTTAGAAATATGACTTTCTTTTTGTTTTGTTTTGAGAAATTAATTTGATTCATTATTTAATTTTTCTCCATTTTGAGTAAATATGAAGGTGGTATTTGCAGGATTAGTAATTGACATTTTTATAGATTAATCCAGATATCAACGTCTTCACCATTTAATTTGTAATGAAGTTTATTTATTTCGGAAGGAGAATAATTCTGGAAAAAATAATAATTAATCCTTGTGAATTAGCTCCATTTCTTTAGAGTGCTAAAATAATACACTTGTGTTAATGCAGTAAGAATTCATCATATATAATAATATATGCTGCTTTCATAATTTGGAAAATGCTACAAAAGTAATTTTAATGACATCTTTGTATTAGACCACATTTTTTGAAAACTTAAGGTTTATGTATATGACAAGTGCTCCTTTGAATTCTGGAATATATCTGGTATCATAAAAAATTTTCTTTTATCAATTGCTTCAAATAAACATGTTATTTCAACTTCAAGTCATCTCACTTGACATGTACTACTGTGTAAATATAAATTATAGATTATACGCATGGCTGAATTTCTTTTTAAAAATAAATAGACATCTTAAAAATTAAACAAGAATGGCCTATTAAAGTGAATTATTTAACAAATTAAATGCAACTTAGTAGATAAAGGCAAATTTCAGATAAATCCTATTCTTCAACAGCAGGTCTATCTGGCCATTTGCAAGCTGGTCTTTATTGTGCTTATTTCAGTAAGTAATTCCTCTAGTTTTCACTTTACTAATCTGGCCTTGTCTTGCCTTAACCAGTGGTTTTGCCTTGCATCCAAGTGACATTGTATGGCCTGTGCTTAAAGAACTCTATGAAGTGAGATACATGTGCCCAGGCATGTAACATACACCTCAGTGTTACATATTATGCAGGTAATATACACTTCCTTCGCACAGGGAATCATACAAACTGTTAAGGTAGTTAATAGGAAAGAGAGGAAATACAGAAAGCTTTGAGAAAGCCAGCATGTGGCCAAAAACAACAGCAGGTGTGGCCATATGGCAATCAAATTAGAAAAGGGATCCTTGCCACACTGCCTTTCGGAAGATAGTGAAGCCCGGCCAGCGCTCAGGGAAGGACGGTTTACTCAACGCATTCACAGTGTTTCATATTGCCTCGTCCGCTGCTCGATCCCAAAGGGAATTTAAACCTATCATAACAAATAGATGTTGAAGAATATTCTTAAAGGATAAAAATAATAACTCTAAAGTGATTTCACTTCCACGTTTAGAGATCACTGTGCCAAAAGCATATAAATTTCCAGATAAAGCATTTGCTAAGCTGAGACTGTCTTTTTTAAAAAAGTAAAGCATTATAATGATAACATTTAATTATTTGATTAAAATTTACAGTATTTCATATTAAGAAAACATTTAGTGAGATTATTTATAGTTTGAAATTCCCTACTGAGGCCAAGATACTCTGTAATAATGTAACTTAATTTTTTTTTCCTAAAAAGTTGTTAAATTTCAGAATAACTTTTTCAGAAGTTCTTGAAACATTTTCCTTTAGAAAGAATTGGCTAAAAATGTGTTTTAGTTCTCAGATGAGGTGTCAAAAACTTGTTCTACCTACAAAAGACAGGGTCTGTACCAGGTACAATTGACATTCATTCTTAAATGTAACATTAGCATTGTATCATGTTATAATTTCAGCAACATTCCTGGTGTGTATATGTGTGTGTTTTCTAATCTGGGGGAAGGTCCATGCCTTATGCTTTGTCCTCTATTGTTCTTATCTTGAGAGGGAAAAAAATGCTCTTTGTTGAAAACTTAGGGACCCATAAATATTCCCCCTCCTGCCTCCCCGCTGCCTGTACCCACCTTTATTAGGGTGGTAACAAACCAGCTTCTATCAGAATGAAGACAGTGTTCATATTTCAGCCTTGCATTCTCTGGTTTGTTTCTGCTCATTGGCAGCACCACACTCTTATTTTCTGTGGCCCAATTTGTTGAGCAACAGCACAACAAAAGATTACCAATTACTCAAAGAAAATAATGGCTGATAGTTTAAGTATTGATTGTTTCCCTAATAGTATTTTTTTCAATTAGGATTATTATGTCTATTTTAAATAGAGAAATTATCTGTGTAAAAACATGAACTTGTAGTCAGTTTCTTATTGGAGTGTAAATATTATACTTCTATTAAAATTAGATTACATATATTTAACTTAATAGAAGGTGGCTATATTTTATTGTTTTGAAATGGATTTTTTCAGGGAATATGGGTATTATTTATTTATTTTTTTGCTTAAACATGTAGCTTTGAACCTTTTATAAATTTAAAAGTCCAGAAAAAAATGTTTTTAAAATATATTTTTATTGATTTCAGAGTGGAAGGGAGAGGGAGAGAGAGAGAGAAACATCAGTGATGAGAGAGAATCATTGATTAAATGCTTCCTGCACAACCCCCACGGGGGATCGAGCCCGCAACCCCGGCATGTGCCCTGACCAGGAACCAAACCGTGACCCCCTGGGTTCCTAGGTTGACACTCAACCACTTAGCCATGCTGTCTGGGTCTCTATCACTCAGATGTTAAAACTATTAGAATTTTGGCACATTGCTTTCAGGAATTATTAAAATAAAACATATGGCTAAAGTCCCTTTGGTCCACTTCTATCTAATCCTCTCTACTCTCATGTGAGAGGCAACTACTAAATGAGTTTGGTTACTTTTTCCTTCTTCAATTAAAAGAATATTACATACATATATGTATCTGTCAAAAATGTATTACTTTAGGCATGTATATATACATTTCAAAGCTGTGTGATATAAATTATTCATGTTACTTTTTCACTTAAATTTAAGGACTTGAATGCATGCATATGAACATAACCAATGGACACAGATAGGGGATGGGAATGAGGGCATGTGCTGGGGGTTGGGGGCGGCCGGGGAGAGGTCAATGGGGGACAAAGGAGACTTGTGTAATACATTAAACAATAAAGAACTTAAATTTAAAAAAAATATTATTGTGACCTATCCTATTGATATAAAGAGCTCTGTCTTCCCTTTTAACTGTTTTGTAACATTGCACCATATGAATTAAAAATATTTTATTTACCTATTCCTCTATGGATGGACATTTACAAATTCCTTTCTTCATAGCTTTTCTTAGTATTCCATTATTCCTGAGATTTAAATGACATTTTTATTTAAAAAAAAATCCCAAACCCACACTATATTTACATACTTCAGACTTGCAGTTTTAGACCACTTAGCAAATCACTCTTTAATAGTTTCAACTGGAGCTATTTTATTTTTAAATCATGGCTCAAATATAGAAAAAATGGCAAAATAATTCACGATATGATTTTTAACATCAAATGTAATTTGTTCAAAATTTACATTAATCTTTCTCATAGCTAGTCACTTCCATTTTGTCTTCCTGTCATCCTGGAGAATGAAAATGTAATTTCCCAGAGGCTTTACGAATTGGGGGAGTATTAAATGTAGCTGAAATTAAGTGATTAATAATTTACTTTTGGGTCATGAATCAACTTCATGGGATGCTAAGGATCATTTGCAACCCCAGAAGCACTAGCAGTAACAATGCACTTTTGAAGATTCAAGAACTCTCAAAGGTTGGCTGCCCAACCTAATTAAACTTCAGTCTTCTGATACCAATTTTATTTCTCCTTTGTACCGAATTTCCTGAGATCTTCTTGACAGGAAAATGTCACTTTGCCTGACAGCTGATAGACAGGTTATGTAGCACCATAATTGAAGAGAAAAGGATAGCTTAAGGCTACTCGGTTTAAAGACTATGTGTATGGCTCTTTCTTTTCTTTCTTTTTTCTTTTTTTTAAGGTTTCTATGACAGACAAAAGGCCTTAGCAAATAGGCCCAGTGCCATTTTTTTCTGCTTCCTCCAGGGGTAATTATCTTACTCCATCAATAGTGCTGTCAGAAATTGGGCACGTAATTCAGCATTTAAATGAACAAGCAATGTAATATTTCCTGTCTCCCAGTGGAATGCTGTGCAGCTCACATTCTTCTCTGTCACTCGCTCACTCTTGATGTATGCCCCATACCCAGTCCTTGAATGCCTTCTCTCCCTTGTGTTTCATTGCAGATGTTGGCTCCGACTGGACACCTACTTCATTTGGAGTTTTATAGGACCAGCGACCTTGATAATCATGGTGAGAGCTCCTAATTAACTATGTGCTTTCCAGTTCAAGAAATGAAACTGTTGCTATCCCTAGACTGACTGTCTTTATTTTACATAGATTAATTTGGGGAAAGCCTGTACTTATTTGACCCCATTAACTCAAGCAATTAGACATTCATTATAGTCTACTTTTCTACTTGTAAAAGGCGTAATCAAAACCATTGCGAGAAGAAAACATGCATTTTCAAGTTTATGTACTGCTACGGTTCCTGAAGAGCCTGATCTAACATAATCCATTTGGTTTTGTAGATTTTGAATAGTGCTGACTTTAAGTTTGACCAACGTTACATCTCCATTCATTTTCATTTAGATAATTTGAATTATGAATGGAACCAGAAATTAGGAAGTGGCAAAATATCTTACTATTCCTTACAGTTCTTTTTTTAAATATATAAATCTTGAAAACTTTAGAATTTAAAATGCTTTTATATAAAAATGCCACAAACAAGCATTCCACGGTCATACCTTCTCTTTTTTATTTTAGATGCATAATATCTTGATTTCAAATAGAAATTATTTCACCTCAGTTAGATATAATTGTTAGAATCATTTACAAACTTAACACTTTAAAATAAAAAGTTGCAATCTGTTTCTTGAAAAAATAGCCTTTTGACTTTTAATAAAGTCTCAGTCTACAACTCATTTTCTGAAATCTTTTGGGCCAGGTATATTTTGAAATTCAGACATTTTTTCAAACGTTATTAAGGTTATATGGTACCTGTATTGCATATTATATATTATCCCTAGTGGGAAATAAGCAGTTGCCCCAAAGAAACATAGCATCCAGTACTCACAGTAGGGAGTAGGCAAGACTCTGAAACCAAACAGTGGTAATACAGCAGAAAAAAATGTATAGGAAAACTAAGATCAAATAGAATAAAGATATGAAGATCCTTATGTCCATTCACATCAGGTTCTGCCACCAAATGGGTTCTGTTGGGGCTAGGCTTTTTGGTTACCCAATGAATTTTTTAAACTTTTACTTTCCAGACTCTTTGAATTCAATAAAAGATCATAACCCCGTATTATTCAGAAAAGAACTTCTTAGAGGTGGGGCTTAGAATTGGATTTTCCTAGTCCCACCAATCCCAAGTTCTGAAATATATAAACAAATCAGGTGATCAAGGACAATTTGGCATGTGGTTTTCTATACAGTTTATGTATATATGATATATAGAATTTACACCGGAGCTTTTTGTTTTGTATTGTTTTAAATCATATGCTCTCTCTGGCTCCAGTAATAGAACACCCTCATTGGAGGTTCCCACTACCTTAAGCCTAGTTGGCTTATATCAGAATTTAACCAGAATTTTCTTTTTTTTTTTTTTAATCTGGTGGTTCAAAAACAGATCAATTTTAGTATTTGTGTGTACTTGGCATAACAGTGCTTTGTACCTCCTTGGTATTCCAATCCCCAAACTGGCTTCTTGCCTTTACTAAAAGACTAAGCAATCATCTACGATCCAATTCCTTTAAAGGTGTAGTGAGAGCTAATTTCCCAGAGCAACTCATCTGTTATTTTGAATAGACGTACTTCTTTTCTAGTCCAGTTGTGCTACATAACAGTACCTTTTACATTCCAGCTTAATGTAATCTTCCTTGGGATTGCTTTATATAAAATGTTTCATCATACTGCCATTCTGAAACCTGAATCGGGCTGTCTTGATAATATCAAGTAAGTGATTTTTCTCTTCGTTTCTTTAGGCTGCCTTACTTTGGTACACTAAACTCCCCTTGCTTTTAATTGCACTGAAATCTTACGACAAAATGATGAAAATCAGTGTGTTGTTTTTGCTGAATAAGATCATTTATTGACTATTAAGGTAACTTGATCTGCCTGAAAATGAATATAATGAAGCTCTGTCTTCAAAGAAACTATCCCACCACCACCGCCACCCCCAAGCTCTGATTTACAACATAAGATTTCAATATATACATTTATTTATTTTGTTCTGAAGGCAACTATGAGGTTTCTGGATCCAGGCAGACTATTATTTCACTTAGAGCAATAAGCACATCCCTTCTTAGCATTCCATGCCCCCTTCAGAGCAACGTGAAGAGAGGCAGATGGTGGCCTCTGCCAGTAGCAGAAGGGAGATCCTACCCCATGGAGAAGAGCCCCTGGTTAGCAACCTGGGCATTTACTTAGGAGCTGTTAGACAGATGCTCTCCTCCTCTCCTGAGAGAGGAAGAGAAACCTCAGCTTCCTAATGTATAACCCTTTGGAATATAAATCTATGGCCTGGGCTTAAACACCCCCCCTCCCCCATCCATTGAAATGTTAACGTCTTTACTTCCTGGGAGGTAGATCCTTCCAGATGCCTCTCACTATCTGTTCAGTCACTCAGTCATCTTTTAACTTCCCAGGTTTGACTTTTAACCCAAATTCCACTTGTCTGTGTTCAGAAAACCCTAGACATGCAAAGATAGGAAAATATTCCCGGTACTTTTCACACTAGTAATACTTCCTTTATATAAAGAAGCAGCTTTACATTTTCTGAAAAGAAATGTGGTTTCTCTGTATAACCAAAAAAGGTATCTTGTTCCTTTAGAGTCTATGACATTTGAGAAAGACAGGAATGTTAGATGTACTTTAGTCATTAATATATATGACGTATTAAATTGCGTTTGTATATAATTTGCCTATATGTTCACTTGGTTAAATGTTTATATTTAAATGAATCTACTTTCAGAGGTTTCCTGAGGTTACTAGTAATGTTCATGTGCTACCAACATTCTCCTGGAACTACCTCAGCTAGCAACTGTGTCACCCATTCTCCATCTTCCTACATTGAGTGCCTGACCATAGTTCCTTGCCCATAGTAGATCCTCACTGAATTTTTACAGAATAAATGAACACTTGAAAGACTTTAGTGACAAAGGTCTATTGACATTAAATGGTTACTTTTGTTGAAGCAATAATCTGCCTAAATTAGTTGAAAAGGATAGCTAAATAATTAGAAGATCATAATATATACCAGAGCAAACTAGGAATTATCTACTGTAAGCAATAGTCTTATGTAAGTCTTAATATTACTTAGCTGAGATAACAGTCATTATGTTGTTGATTTATGTACAATTAGACTACCCTTCTAAAATGTAGTGTTAATTCCTTGAACTATTTGAACCTGATAAAATTGAATTTGGGTAAATTAAATAAAATATGTTTTCTTTATCACATCATACTTTTACTCACCTTAGTATAAATTACAACATCTTTAATCTGTTATTCTGTAGAAGAAAACAATATACTAGTAATACTTTATCTTTTATTATTTTTTAAAAGTATTACCATAAAAAAAACCAAAAAATGCATTGATATTTATGTAATAGCTTTTAACAGGTTAAAAATCAGTAAAAGGTCATGTACTTAGAATAATCACATATTTTTTATAGATCAGTTTGTTCTCTCATTATTCACATGTGTTCCTTTAGGTAAAATATGGATCACATCTTTATGATATTACTCTTTAAAAAAATAAAAGTAAAGGGAAGAATTACATTTAATGGCACTGATGGCATCAAGATTTATATTGCTAAGTAAAGCCTTAAATAAGAATACCTCGATTAGAATTCTATCCAAACTGTGTCATACTTTGGAAAGTTTATTTAACCTTCCCGAGCCTTCCTGTCCTATTTAAAATGGGCCTCATAATGAAGCATACCCAAACATCACATGAGCCGAGGAATATAAACAGCCTTTGATGATGCCTTTTTAAAAGTCAATAAAGCAAAAAGAAATTGGGTAGCTTGTTAGAAAGGCTATGGCAGGTGGTTTTAAGATGGAAGAAACATCAACACGGATATGCTAATGGGAAAGAACAAAGAACTGAGTGGTCTGAAATATAAGAAAGCGGATTGTTGTTAGAGTTGTGACGTGAGGAATTGTAGGGCATGGGAACTGGGACCGTGGTCCCGCAGTGCGGCTGCATTAGATTTCATGAGGACATGGGGCCAGAGTTACTGAAGACAGGGAAGAGGACCCTTTCCGCTGAGACTGGATGAACTAGGTAATAAGTGTGATGTCGACCTGTGGTGGGACCAGCGAAGGGCAGTACATTGAGGGATTTCTGGCTGTTCTCCTCTATGAAGTAGGAAAGATGGTCATCTGCAGGATATAAGGGACTATGGAAGAGAGATAAGAAGAAAATATTTCTTTGAACTTTCCAGAAGCTAAAGGATATTTCATTTTTATTTAAAATATATTAACTATTTAAGAATTGCTTATAAAGAAATCAGCAGGGCATAATTAAATACGGAAAAGGTAGAAGAGTTTAAGAAAAGTAATAATGATTTTGAACATTAAGCAAAACGCAAAATCTGGAAATGGATTTTTTTTAAAAAAGTAAGGATTTATATTTGTAAATGGTATGTTTGATGTGAGACTATTTATTTTAAAGGTATAAATAAACATTATTCATCTGAAAAGTATTTTTTTAGTACATGGGTGATAGCATAAAAGTTAATAATGTTTACTTGCTTTTTTGTTTTTGTAATTTTATTAAGTGATGAATAAGATCATTTTGTTTAGTTTATTAAGAGCAAAGTATACCTATTAGGCCTTGTCAAAGTTGTTATCTTTCTAAAACAATTCCTTCATTTATCAACTCTTTATTGCTTTTACTATACATGTTATTTCACACCTAGATATTGTCGCCTTTACCTAATTCACTGCCAACATTTCCTTTTAGGACACCATCAACTTCTACAGAGCCACTGCTCTAGTCGCCTAACTTCTTTCCCCATATTGTTTCTTGCCCCTGCCTTGATCAGCTAGAGTGATTTCTTGAAAAGTTTAAATCTTACCATGCAACTTTCTTGGGTAAAACTCTTCAATGGCCTCCTGTTATTTTTACATGAAAGTCCAGACCCTCCACCATGGCCCACTAAGCGTTCCCTGTCTGGTTGCCCCTTTCTTTCTTCAGCTGCTTTTTAAGCCGCGTGCCCCTCTGGCCATTCTAGATGTGTTCTCTTTGGCTTCAGGTTTTATCCCTGGTGTGTTTCTCCAAATGTTCTCTTCCCAAACACTGTGCCTTGCTGACTTCAATTTACCTTAATTTAATTATCATTTTAAAAACTAATTTAATTACTTTTTAATTCTAAATTTACTTCACTGTCATCATAATAAACGCATTTTGATGTTAAGTATAGAACATTTATTTGGCATGCTCATTACTATACTAAAACTATACTCTGGAAAAAATTAATAAACAAATAGAGTGAATTATGTAATGTGATTAAAAAGGAAATGAGGTATGCCAATTTTCTAATTTCACTAAAAAAGTAATTAAGATTAAACAATACATTTCTACTTGATGTTTGTTTATTTGTCCTTTGTCTTTTTTTTTTAATTAAACTAGGTCATTATATTTGGAAGAATAAAATAATTCCAATCATTTGTATTTTTGGTTCAATTTCCAACTAGTTGAAATTGGAGCTTAGAGTAATCATAGCAAAAATCTAACTTAATTTTGAAAATCTATATGTACATATAAATAAAACAATGACTGACTTGTTATCAAAATGAACTGATAGTATCACTGAAGTGTTGCGATATATAAACTTTAATTCTTGAGGAGCATTTAGGGCATTCTTGAAATTAACCTTCAAAATAAAAATTGATGTTTCTGTAGTTATCAACTACATCTACTCTTGGAAAATGTATCTAATAATATCACAAGTGTTTTCGAAGAATAAAAAAATAATAATAAAGGTTTTTAGAGCTAAGAAAGAAAATTGGTGCCTGTATGGAGGGACAAGGACTCTACTAGACCTGCCTTCTCTGTACCTCTCCCTTTGCTTTTTCCCATGGACTGACTTCTGTGTCCCGACGTCGGATTGTGGCCCGGTCATGTTTTCCTTTGATTTCAGGTCTCCCCTCCTAACTTAGGTTTTACCTGAGCGATGGGTCAGCAAACACATTGTCACATGATTGAAAGAAACACCTTTCACTTTCCTTCTTTCTTCCCTGGGCTCTTATTTGCTAAAGGAAGACATTAGAGAGAGGGAATAACTTTAGTGTCAGACACACTTGGGTTTGAATTTCTGTTCAGTTTTGTAATGATTATATGACCTTGCAAGTACATCATGGCTCGCAGTCTCAGTATCTCTTCTGAATTGGGAATAATTGTATCTACTAATTAGAGTTTTGCAATAATTAAATATGATCATATGTGTAAAGCATACAGCATGCAATCTAGTGCCTGGATAGGATGGTTTCATTATTTTTAACCACTCTATGTGGAAATATATTGCTCGCTGCCTTTGCTCTTTGTGCTTTGCATCATGAAATTTGTTCAACTCCTTATCAAAATCCCATTAAAATTTGACTGGCTCTGCTTACCATATGGCATCATTAAGAATATGCATGACATGAATCTTTTTTTTATTAAAGCCAAATGTATGGTATTATGAAAAATTGGCTCCAGGCATGAAATACTCACTTGATTAATAAATAGCAAGTTCTGTAGTTAGTTATGAAGAAAAAAAAAGAAAAAGAAGTGTCCTCGATGAACTTGGATACCTACAGGATGAAAAGAGTTCTGAATGGCTTCTGAATACCTTCAGGAATGAATAGGAAATGTTTCAGCTTACCAGTGTCCATAATAACTTGTTCTGTTTCTCTGGAAGCTAAGTTTTATTTTGAGGACTGTGTCTAAATATTGGTAGAAATAG